TGCCCTATTCTGGTGAAGTTTTCTGTCTCAAATATCTTTTCAGTATAACCTCCTTTCCACCCGCCTTTTGTGAAATCTACTATTGTTTATTGTTAAGGGTAGCAGCCTTGAAAGAGTAGAGATTGATAGTCAAACTAGTCTACTGGTGAAGAATAGCTTAAGTGAAAATCCCTTGGGCAGGTAAACTGTCTCAAACATTTCTGTTTAAAAGAGGTGGAGGGACTTCAATAGCAGTTACTGTGATTTTAAAGTATTAACAAAAATTAATATTCTTAAGCAGTAAGTTATATTTGTTACTGAATATTAATGTTACTTTTTTTCCCTTTTTTGTTCATTTCTTTACCGGAATATCGTTTATTTAGATTACAGTATAACCTTTGACTTAGGGTGACATTTAACTTAGTTTTGTTATTGCTTCAAAGCATCTAACCAAAAAATTAAGAACATTAGGAGAGACGTGAGTAGGTAAAATATGTTCTTAAAGTTTTGCTGGTGAATGAAAGGTCAAATAAGTTAAAGTCTTAAAGCTACTTAGGATTCAGGCTAAGTCCTGGTCTCCACCTGGTATTCTTTTCACTAGGCTAGACTACATAGTAAGCAAACTAGATAAACAGATTCCTTAACTTAATGTGAATAAATCATTGTTGGGGAACAACATAATTGATCCTACAGGCTCTGCCTATTATAAATTCTATTTTTCTCTCAGGAATGGAGTCACTTGTCTATTCTCTTTGAAACATACTTTGATCTCCATTTTCCCACCCCACACAACTAATTTCAGCTGGTTCTCATGTTTCTGAATTTTCAAGGTTGCCTATCTGTTTTAAGACACTTCTTCCTCATTTTGTATTCATTATTTAATTACACATTGCATCTTCCTTCTTGGATCACTAGTTCATCATGCAAGGATCCTGGTCTCATTCACACGTGCTTTCTATGTTTCAAGACCAAAGGTGACAAATACTTTATTAATTGAAGTAGTAGGCAACATTAAGATGTTCTTCACAGAGGTTCTATGTAAATAATATTTCCACTAGTGCTTTGCTTTCCTTTTTTTTAAATGATAGGCTTATCTTTAGTAATTAGAGATGGGTTTCATCACAGACTCAAAGTGCCTTAGGAGATAGTTGTAAGACAGTCACACATGTACAAAACATCAAAACTGTGAGTCAGAGGAGTTCATTGCATTGTATAGTAGACAGAGACTTCCCCCCAGAATTGTGACTCAGTCTGGACTTTGATGGATAACAGATAAGATATGTAAAGGCAAAGAGGATAAAGTAGACATTCCAAATGGAGACAAAGAATAGCAACACATGGAGATAGGAAGGTGCCTGGAATGAGGCAAGTGGGGCATGGGAAGGTCACTGTGACAGCAGGAGGTGCTAGTCACACCTTCCTTTGTGGCAGCTCTTCTTGAAAGCCGAGTCACTGTGGACAAAGTTGTTCATGGTGCATTATCTCCCTGCTTGTAGCAGATTGGCTCTTTTTCTGGCCTTTCTGATGAAACTCTTAAAAAACCTAAGTTTCCCAGTTATCCCTTACTAATAAATGCAGTGTGTGTTTTTCAAACTCATCTTTTAAACAATAAAACATAATCTTTTTTTTTTTTTTTTTAAAGCCAACACAGGTAATCCTGATAGAAAAACTATTTTATTTTTTGGTGCTAAGAACTTTTTTTCCTTTCATGAAGTTACTACAACAAGCAAACGGAAAAGACATTCTTGGGGGGGAGGGGAGAGAGGGAGGAGGGAGGGAGGTGTCGGTGATGGGCCATAATAATCATATACAGTGTATATTGACAAAATAAAAATTAAAAAAAAAAAAAGAACTTTTTTTCCTTTTCAGTTATGTGTGTAGGTAGCTCATCTTATATGGAAAGTATGCATTGAATTCATTGGTAAAGAGTGTCCATTGTGGGGCAGGCATTGTCCCAGAGATTCTATGCACTTGCAAATATATGGGAACATGGTGGTGGAGACCAGTCCGTACTCTCACGAAATTTATTACCCTTTGGTCTGAGCCCGTGGCGCACTCGGGAGAGTGCGGCACTGGGAGTGCAGCAGTGCTCCTGCCGCGGGTTCGGATCCTATATAGGGGTGACCGGATTGCTCACTGGCTGAGCGTGGTGCAGCCGGTCTCAAAAAGGACAAAAAAAAAAAAAAAAAAAAAAAAAAGAAAGAAAGAAATTTATTACCCTTTAATGGAAGGAGAACACAATAAGTATGTTGCTGAGATACCCTATGATGAGAAGTAAAGCAGAGAATGAGAGGCATTATCTTATTGTGAGCAGACTCTTTATAGGGTCTTGTATTCTAGGCATGTTTTAAGGAGAATTCAAGAGTCATAGGACTAGAGTTCAGTGAGACTAGGAAAAAGTGTTAGGGGATTGGAGAGACTAGAGGTAAAGCAGGACAGATGGTAGGACTCCAGATCTTATTCTAGGTGAGGTAGGAAGCCATTGGAGGATGTGAGAAGTGGTGCAGTGATCTGACATGTATTTTAAAAGATCATTGTGGTTGCTACGCTGAGATTAGATTACAAGTGACAAGATTGGGAGCATTGAGATCCGTTAGCAGTTTGAACAGAAGTGTTTGGTGACCAAGGTTGTTGGTGGATTCTGGGTCTATGTATAACATAGAGCTGGCAGAATTTATAGATGGATTGGATGAGTATGTTTGTGAGAAAAGAAATTTTTGGCCTAAACTGCTGAAAAAAATGTGATTTACTGATAAGGGAAGACTTGGAGAGACTTTTAAAATTCATTTGTGTTTCTATCATAAAAGAAATTTTTTTCTTTCATTATACTTTCTGAGTAGCTTTTGCTTATGTTTATATAGGCTATTGACTCTAGTATACTAACTTTGTACCAAGCCACCATACTGAATTCTCTTAGTTGTAAAAGTTTTTCAGTTGGTTCACTGATTTCTTATCTCCTTTGACTTCTTTGTGTAATTTTTACTAAATTGTTCAATTCTAAGAAAAACCATTTTATTTTATGGCTGTTTGCTTTCTTCTGCCTGAAATATCAATTATTTCTTGTCTTTTTCTGTGTGTTTCTATGCATTCCCCCAAACCCAGCTCATGTTTCCCATCTGAAAAACATTTCTGGATTCCTAGGAAAAGTTAGGTTGTATTCCTAACCTCAGCTGTACAATCTGCATACCTATATTAGAAAAATCATCAATCATCCTGGTAACTTTGTATATATCTGTCAGTCCTGTTGAGCTATGAACCCTGTAGGGGTGAGAATTGAGTCTTATTCATCATTATATCCCCAGTGGTGAGCTGAATGTGCTACAATAATTATCGGTTATAGCATGAATGTTATACATGAGTGGTCAATTTCTGCAGATTAAAAATAAAATTTGAAATTGGGTAACATTGTTATTCATATATAGTTTGTAAATTTCTTGTTATAACCATTGTAACAGTTAAAAATTTTTTATCTTTGTTGCTATTGTAAAAGAATTTTTTTTTTTTTTTTTTTTTGTCGTTTTTGTGACCGGTAAGGGGGATGCAACCCTTGGCTTGGTGTCGCCTGCACTGCGCTCAGCCAGTGAGCGCACTGGCCATCCCCATATAGGATCTGAACCCACGGCGGGAGCGCCACTGCGCTCCCAAGCGCTGCACTCTCCCGAGTGTGCCACGGGGCCAGCCCAAAGAAACCTTTTCTAAAGTACAAAAGATCTCTGTGATCATAGTACTAAAAATCAAGGCCTTGTTGTTTTAGTAAATTAATGTATGATGTGGGAACCTTGCTCCTGTCTTTTTATGAAGACTAATCATGAAGGTGCTTGGATTTGTGAGACCTTAAATTTTGAAAATGAGAAATACGTGGATGTTACATATATACTTATAAAGAAGCCCTTTTATCTTATTTGGTTTTTATTTTTGCCTAGGAAATAGGGGAGAAAGGAGTTAAAATTTATATATTTCTTTGATTGGAAAGGAATAGTATTCATTTTTCCAAAAGCAATGAAGTTAATTAGTAACATTTTCAAAAGCTTTAATTTATAGTCTTATAAATAGAAACATAAATGTCATTACTTCAAGATTATTTTTTCACATTTCATTTTTTCAGCCTGTTAAATCATTGAATTGGCCCATGTAAGGTTTTTGTTTGTTTGTTTTTTTAATTTAGAATATTTCCTATTTCTGTTATAAATTAGTTAAGGGGATGTGCTGGTAAGTGACACTGAAAAATATTTATTAGAATAATTATTTGTAACATTTTTCATTGAAGCTGATGTATAATTTATCAAACAACCAATCATAGTTCATTGTTAACTGCTAAGTGCAGTGGGAAATACAGCCATTTATAGCATGCTTCTTTCTTGCAAAGAGTTATAAATGTAGGCAGAGAGATGAAACAGGTACCCAGGGAAAAAATAGAAAAAAATGTTACATTTGTGGAACTGGTTGTATATGCTATATCAATTCAAAGAAAGAAGAAATTCTGTGTGTGTGTGTATGTGGGGATGGGGGTTAGAGGATGGATTTAGCTGGACTTTGAAGGATGGGAAAAGTTTATCTGAATAGAGAAGCAGAACACACTAGATTGGAAACAAATAGAATAAAGGCCCAAAGGTAAGTGTCATTATGAGGTATGAGTGTGAGATACTCATCTCCATCCTGAGACACTAAGATATTTTATAATTTATCTCATCATAGAAAATAAGTTATATTCTTGATTTGCTATAGAAAACACATTGATTGAACTTAATGGAAGCAAATATCAAATCGCTTCGTCATGTTTCTTTGTATTGCCAAGTAAAGTAGGTATAGTATAAAAAACAAAACAAAATACTGATTGGAAAAGAAAAAAAATCTCTTAATTCCACCATCCCTAGTAAACAAACAGTTAACATATTGGTACATTTTTTTCTAGGTGTGAAAAACATCTATATATACATTTTGGGGTTTTATAAAATTAGATCATATCAGAAAGTTACTTTTAAAATGTATATTTTATTTTCTGTGTTTTATTTATATTTTAGGAGAAAACCAAAAGCCAAGGCTCCACTTCCTCCAGCTGAGACCAAATGCGTTGATGTCTCTTCAGTCGATGATTCTGTAGAATCTGCTGCTTTCATCATGGAACCAAAAGAAAACGTGATAGATAAAGACATTGAACTCTCAGTAGTTCTACCTGGGGATGTTATCAAATCTACTACTGTTCATGGCAGGTATGCAGGAGCGAAGGAAATACCAGGACCTCCCTTTCTTCTTCCACCATTGAAACCATCTGTGATACACCTTTTGATATTTTTTCTTTGACAGAGTCCTTCTTTCATCACTTATCTATTTTTTTTAGGAAAAACAAATGCTAAACAGGTATTTAAATCCAAGTTCGGTGGCTCTTGAAATTTGGAACTATTTCATACATAGTTATTTAATAAGTTTTCAAAAATAAGACTCTCCTAGAGGAATGGTCATTAGTTATATTGTTTGTAAGTCAAGCTTACAAAGCCAGTGACCTGCAAGAAAATCCTTTCTCTTTCTCCTGAAATTGTTCTTTCCACTTTAAGCTGCTTATTTAAATTTGATTTTGCAGAAGTTACTATTCAGTTTTAGAATGTGATACTCCCTTATTTATCAGAACAAATTAATCTGTAAAACTGGCAAGATTTTTTTTTTTACTTCATTAAATGATTAATTTACTAAAACTAAAAATGTGGATGCATTAAATAGGAATGTAAAATCAAACTTTAACCCAGTGAGAAGGGAAGATGTGATTTAAGAGACTGATATTTTTAGGTACTTGCATGAAAATGAGAAAAATGAAACAAAGCCAAGTATAATTTTCCATTTCATTCTGAAGTGGAAAGTTACATGAATTGTATACTTGGTCTTGTCCTACCTTTCACCTTCAACTGCCCATTTTTTATCAGGAGTCCTGTTTTAGAAACTTAAGCTGTTTTGACCTTAGTATTTGTGTGTGTGTGTGTGTGTGTGTGTGTGCATATGGAAAACCAAAGAATAAGTAAGCAATATGTTGGGTATTTCATTCTCACAATCTGATTTTGTCTCAGAGTCATTCAAGATAACCTTAATTTTAAGATTTATCACCAAAATCATGTATAACTTTACAAATTCTCGAAAGTAGATGAAATAGTTCAGCTTTAACAAATGTGTAGTATTATGTTTTAAATTCTCATTAAATTGACTAAGTTGCATTTTGCCTTTGATTTGTGTTGAAAATACTTTTAGAGATCATCCATTGAACCTTCTTTATGACATTGAGAAACCTGTGGCTGTCCATGGTGGGCTCCTATCTGCACCTGTGTCTTACCTGTTCTGGGTGAGGTTAGAGACAATGGCCATCATTTCAATTCTTTTGTTTTTGGCAGCTGGTCAGTTTGGGGATCTGAACCCATGACCTTGGTGTTACAAGGCTGTGTTCTAATCATCCCCTCAATTCTTGAAATAATGTCATTACCCGGGTTTTAAAATAATAAAAATAATAGATATGGCTGAGGGTAGGAAAAGCAATTCCTCTTGTGTTCCCTAAATTCAAAGTAGGATTAAAAAAAAAAGTTAGACGTTTTTCTAGTTCTTCACAGATATAGGTTACACTGATTTTATCACAAATACTCCTGAAAATTTCTTCTTGGATGTACCAGTCATCTCTTTATATTGCCATCTCTTTATATTGCCATCTTATAAATCAGCCTCTGTGTTCTTTAGATTTTTTATATACAACTTTAATATCAGAATCATGGTTTTCCTCTCTGTCCTGTCACCAATTATAATTATTTTTAGTCTTTTCCACTGCCACCCTGAGTTAACTTTTCTTGTTTCCTTAACTTGGAAAACCTACATCTGTGGTTGACTTCCCCTCTCCACCAGGGAATGGTGGGGATCTCATCACTTTAAAACTGTTCTGTAACTGAGATATCAGAGTTCCTTCTTTGAACACAACATTTTTTTTTAAACACTTGGCTTATTCATTTACTCTTTCTTAACTGAGTTTGTTCTTAATCCTCCCATATTAAGTCTAATTTATGACTGCTCTTTCAGTTGCTGCAGTTTTTTTCATGTCTAAATTTTCTTCATATCTAATTTTTCTTCATTTCTAACTGAATTCTGCATCAGTCATTTTTTTTTTTTTTCCTTTTTTTTTTTTTTTTTTTTTTTTTTTGGTGGCTCGCTGGTACAGAGATCAAACTCTGGACCTTGGTGTTATCAATATGACATTCTAACCAACTGAGCTAACTGGCCAGCCACTGTACCAGTCATTTCTACTACATTTGTACTTAGAAAAATCCTAGATATTTCTAACCCTCTTAACTTTCCAGCATGTTTGCCTCCCAAGTCTCTAAATCCAGGCAATTTTCCATCAGTCAACTTTTTGTTTCTGGGCTGCCAACTATTGTTGAATTGCTGCAGTTTTCTTATCTATAAAAATGTATTTAGAGATGAATTGCTGAGTTAAACAATATATCATATATTGCTAGGATTAAGTGAAATGCTATCAGTGCATGGCATGTATTGGCTTCCTTCATTTTTGTATTGGGAACAGCTTTTCCTAATCCTGACTCTTTCTATGTCCTCTCCACCCTCAGATTAATCTGATTAAAGCCACCTCTCTGTTTGTGGCACTACCTTTGTTAAAAGACTGCAGGGGTAGCAATTCAGTACCAAATTAAGGAAGTCCAAACTACTGAGCTGGAGACTAGGACACCTTATTTTCTTCTCCTCCAAAATTAAGTAGGCTTTTCCTTTACTACTCTTCTTTGTATATCTTAAGCTTCACCACATGATTCATTGTTCTTCTACAGATATTCTGTTTTTCAGCTTCATATTGTTATGTACATTTTCTCTCCTCATTTTCTCCATCACTTTTTATGCAAAGGCTCCCTGATCTCCCCAGTATCAACTGTTATCTCTGGCTTCCAAACTCTTCTGACACTTTATACCATGGTTATCACATATTGTCCTATGCTATAATTTATAGGTATATCTTATCTTCTTTAATAAGCCATATGAAGCCATCACTTTTCTTCACAGTCCTTAGCAATTTCTTGTAACACAGTAAGTGTTTAATAAATTCATTAAAATGAATATTTTCTCCTGAAACCCTTACATGTACATGGAGGTAGCAATTTAAATGGTGTGCTTTGAAGAGGCATTTGGGAATGGACCCTAATTGTTTTCCCAGAGTCTTTAAGTAATCATATTTTCTCCAGGTAGAGAGTAAGGTAGGAATGCCTAGAACAGGAATGCCCAAAATTCTCATTACTTTTTAAATTTTGTTTAGGGCTGAACAGTTTTTCTAAGAATAGAATCTATTTGATATCAGTGTTACTATGGAGTTTGATTTAGGGACTTTATTCCTAATAGTTTTATCATTCAGGAATGAATTGTAGAAACTATGACTAGTTTCCATATTAAGTGTTTAATTTAAATTTGTTGCCTGATTCTGAATATCCTAGGTGTGTAATTCTAGACATTTTAGAGTACAATTTGGGATATCTTAATAGTGTGATTAGCTCCCCTCCTTGGACCTGGAGGGGAGCTCCAGCCCCTGTGGTCTGACCCACCAAGGTGAGCCCAGCAGACCCGTGCAGTGCTGGGGGCTCATTCTATGACCACAGATTCTGGAACAGGACCCAAGATGGTTTAACATAACCACCACCACACCTACTGTCAAGCAAATACAATTTACCACCACAGTAGCAGCCAGGGCCACTCCACAGCCAACGTCAGTGTAATAGAAGAAGCAAACCCTCTACCAAATGGCCAAACGTCAACAAAAAAATACTAGAATGCAAATAAACAAGAAGAGGGCTGGCCTGGTGGCGCGCTGGAGAGTGTGCCGCTTGGGAGCATGGCGGCGCCCCCGCCGAGGGTTCGGATCCCATGTGGAGACTGGTTCCCGCTCACTGGCTGAGCGCGGTGCGGGCGCAACACCGAGGGTTGCGATCCTGTTGCCGGTCCCCGGTGCGGGCGCGACACTGAGGGTTGCGATCCCGTTACTGGTCAGTAAAAAAGACAAAAAGGAAAAAACAAAACAAAAACAAATAAACAAGAAGAAATGATACCACTGAAAGAATAGAATAATGCTACAATGCCAAACTCCATGGAACAGGGAATCCTTGAAATGTCTGAAAAAGAATCCTGAGCAGTGATCTAAGAAAACTTGAAGAGATAAAGGAAGAATTAATTAGAGAACACAAAAAAACAAGAAAAAATATCCAGAATATGAAGGAGGAAATCTACAAAGAGATTAACACCTTAAAAAAGGGTGTAGCAGAACTTCTAGAGATGAAAGATTCACTCAGTGAAATAAACAACTGAGAGCTTGAGCAGCAGCATAGAGCAAGCAGAAGAAAGATTTTCAGAGCTTGAAGATGGTCTTTTTGAAACAGGCAGACAAAAAAAAAGGAAAAAGAATTAAAAATGGTGAGGAAAATCTAAGAGAGATAGCAGACAACCTCAAGCACTCTAATATCTGAATTGTGGGTATTCCAGAAGAGGAGGAGAAAGCAAAAGGCATTGAAAACTTACTGAAGGAAATAGTAACAGAAAACTTCTCAGGTGTAGGGTGAGATACAGACCTTCAGATCCAGGAAGTTCAGAGGTCCCCAAACAGATTCAATCCAAAAAGATCCTCCCTAAGACACATTATACTTAAATTTGCAAAGCTCAAAGACAGAGAGAATTCTAAAAGCACCAAAAGTGTCAGGTTGCTTATAGGGGAATCCCCATCAGACTAACAGGAGACTTCTCAATTGAAACCCTACAGGCCAGAAGAAAGTAGAATGATATATTCAAAACACTAAAAGAAAAAAATTGCCTGACAATAATTATTTATCCAGCAAGGCTCTCCTTCAGAAATGAGGGGAGAAATAGTGTATTTCCCACACAAACAAAAGTTGTGGGAGTTTACCACCACACAACCAGCCCTGCAAGAAGTTTTCAAGGGAGTCATTCATCTGGAATCTGAATAATGGTGACCACTATTACAAATACACAAGAAAGAGCAAAATCCACTGTTAAAACAAAAATGCCAGCAAGATAGAGAAAGAAGCTAAATCATCCCACCTTAAATTTCCAATTAGTATTGAAGAAGAGAAATAAAAGGGGAAATAATGATCAAAAGATATTTAAACCATCTAAATGAGAAGCAGTTAAATGACAGGAATTAAGCAACACTTGTCAATAACTACCCTAAGTATGAATG